GATGAAGGGTGCTCATCTCGTCACCGATGAGTGTACCAAGGACGCCATTTTAGAGTGAATTCACTTCTGTCATGTTTGTAATATAAAGACGAAGTTACTTGCACTATGTAGCACTTTTGTTATTTAAAATATTACCTTCTGTGCGGCTGTTTATAAAATTCTGAAAGTAGGCCAGTCGTCGACTTCCTCCCCCACGTAACTAATACTGGGGTGTTCGTGAAAAACCCGGACACTCTTTATCCAAATGCTTGGTCCCTTAAGGAGGTGTCCAGCGCAGCGAACAAGGCAATCGGACTATGCGGCCTTATAACTTTCACTTAGCCATAGAAGTCTACAATTTTAAATTTTGGCGAAGCCCCTAGAATCCGGAAGGCCGAATCGGGGCGCTATACACGCCTAGATCGGACTAAGCCGATTTATCGCCTAAAGCGGAATTTTTTTAAGGATTTTAAGACCTCTCGAACAGCGACGCTCTCGCCACATCATGCCGGTCAGTTTTCGGCTTTCTCTACTAAGGTGCTTGTCCGGAAGAACTGGGACACAATCGCAGTAGTTCTCCCTGCGCTACCTTAGCCTATATAATGGAATGTAAGGCACCAAAACAAGGGAGCCGGGCTATCCCAAATGTAGACCCAAGACATGATTCAGAGCTGATGCATATAGTGATATAAGTTCGGGGTGCCGCACTGTTGAAAGTGTTCGGACTTTATTTGCCATATTGCGGGGCGCCATGAGAAGCCCCTGGCAAACTGACCGTACCAAGGTGTACGGATGCAATACCCAATAAACATTTATAAGAGAAGACAATGCTCAAATAAGGATGATAAGCTAACGCTATATATAATCTCCCATTGACGAAAAATACGTTTAAGCGTATGTTTACAATGGATGCATTAAGCAGGGAGAAAAATAGGACTATTTGACATGTCCTATCCAGGGGCAGGCTGTGTACAGATAGATAAAGCAGGTATAATGATCGTAAATAGATTCCACTTGGGTGTTTTTCCTTCTGTGACACCGTCTGTTGCCTCCTTGGATGTCTCTCCCATATGAGTCCGGCAATTCGGCTCTTCTGAGGATGCTGCACTAATGCGGTGTCCTGAAATGTAAGAGGAAAAGAGTATGAAGGTATTTGGCGGTTACCCGCACTATTGCTGAGTCATTGATGCGCCTCCGCCTATGCCCATGGTATCTTGAGTACGTAGTTGTGTACGCGTGGTACGAATGCTGCTTTGAAGGGGCTTGAGCGGAGGCCGGACTGCTAATCACGCTCTTGATGATCCTGTTACGGGGTGCTCCGGACTCGCTTGACTGTGCTCAAAGTTATCGCCGGATTGGTTTGTCGGAGTAGGCCGCATTGTACTTCTGCCGCGAGGGCTGCTGTATGCTCTTCTATTCGAAGGGAGCGGTCCATATTTCCATTGACAATGATGACCCCACGCGGTCCTGGCATCTTGAGCTTGAGGTATGCGTAATGTGGTACCGCGTTGAATCTAGCGAATGCGGTTCGTCCGAGCAGTGTGTGGTAACCACTACGGAAAGGGATGATATCTAAGATTGACTCTTTGCTCCGGAAGTTATCCGGGGATCCAAAGACCACTTCCAACGTTATAGAGCTCGTACAGTGGGCCTCTACTCCGGGAATTACACCTTTAAAGGTAGTTTTGGTGGGCATGATCCTTGAAGGGTCGATGCCCATCTTGCGCACTGTGTCCTGATAAAGCAGGTTCAGGCTACTGCCGCCGTCCATAAGGACACGCGTGAGGTGGAATCCGTCGATGATTGGGTCTAAGACCAACGCGGCTGAGCCGCCATGACAGATGCTAGTAGGATGATCCCTACGATCAAAGGTGATCGGACAAGCTGACCATGGGTTGAATTTGGGGGCTACTGGCTCCATCGCATAGACGTCCCGTAGTGCTCGCTTCCGTTCCCGCTTGGGGATGTGAGTGGCGTAGATCTTATTGACCGTTTTCACCTAGGGGGGGAGGATTTCTTTTGTCCCCCCGTATTCGGACGCCGGGGCTCCTCGTCATCATCGTTGTGCAGCCCCTTGTCCTTGTTTTCGGCGTTTATCTTGCCGGCCTGTTTGAACACCCAACAGTCTCTATTGGTGTGGTCGGCTGGCTTGTCCGGGGTGCCATGAATTTGGCACGAGCACTCCCGTATGCGGTCCAGGCTGGACGGTCCCTGATTATTTCTTTTGAACGTATTTTCCGCTGACCGAACTTAGATCCGCTGAATCCGGTGTTGACCGCCGTGTCTTCAGTGCTGTCGCCGTTGTTCCGTCTCTGATGCCTGTTATGCCGTGGCTTGCCGTTAGCATCGCGGCCGTCCAAAGTGCCGGAATGTGGCGTGGTGCCGCTGCGAGCCAGCCAGCTATCCTCACCCGCACAAAAGCGGGTCATTAGGGTTGTGAGAGCTGCCATAGACTTGGGTTTTTCCTGGCCGAGGTGCCGAGCGAGCCACTCGTCACGGATATTATGCTTGAAAGCCGCCAGGGCTTCAGCGTCCGGACAGTCGACTATTTGGTTCTTTTTAGTAAGGAACCGAGTCCAAAATTTCCGGGCTGACTCTCCGGGCTGTTGAGTAATGTGGCTCAGGTCGTCAGCGTCTGGTGGTCGCACATATGTGCCCTGGAAGTTATCAAGGAATGTGTCTTCCAGGTTTTCCCAACTGCCAATGGAATTTGCTGGCAGACTGTTTAACTAGTGTCGGGCTGGTCCTTTGAGCTTAAGGGGAAGATATTTGATGGCGTGCAGATCATCTCCGCGGGCCATGTGAATGTGGAGAAGAAAATCTTCGATCCATACTGCGGGGTCTGTTGTGCCATCGTATGATTCGATGTTTACGGATTTGAACCCTTCTGGGAATTCATGATCCATCACTTCATCGGTGAAACAGAGGGGGTGTGCGGCGCCTCTGTGCCGGGCTATGTGGCTACGCAGGTCGGATTGGTCTTGGTTGCTGTGTTCGGCCCCGCCGGACTTGTTGATGATGTATCCGGCGCGACGGTCATCGTTGCGCCTTAGGGCGCGCCCCCGCGATCCGTAGATCGATCTTGGCTGTCCTGCTTTGTTTTCCAGAATATCTTGCAGGTCTTGCCGGTTGCCCTGGGCCGTAGTGTATAGGCGTGGGGGTGCGGGCTTGTATCCGGGCTGATATCCCATTTTATCCCGGCCACGGGGTGGCCGGTCAGCCGTTTGGTGTTCGAGTCCATATTCCTCGGCAACCAGGACTTCAGTCCATCTATCTGTGAGCAGATCTTGATCGGCTTGGAGTTGCTGCTGCTTCTTCTTCAGGCTCCTCGCAGTGGCTATAAGCCTACGCTTGAAGCGCTCCTGCTCTACGGGATCCTCAGGCACGCCGAATTCGTCGTCGCCGAGGCTAATCTCGTCTTCGGAGGGGGGCATGTAGTTGTCCTCCTCCAGGTATGCGTCCGCCGCCTGTTCTTCTGGGCTGACCTGCTCATCTTCCCGCTCGGCCTGCTCGAAGGCGGGCTGGTCAGGGTCATATTCTTCTTCGGCGCCATCTGGATTATTTTCGTCTCTGGGGCCGGTATTGCTGTGGCGGGGCTTGGAGCGGCGCCGAGATGCTTTGCTTTTCTTCCCGAGGGATTATCCTCCGTTGCCTCATCGCCATTGGTTTCCTTCGGAGTGTCCACCATATATATATTGTATGAAGAGGTGGCCGTCCACCGCCCTGTGAGCGGTGGCTCCTGTAATGCTCCTACATCATCGTCCATACCGTCGATGTCTTTTGAGTCGAAGTCAAGCACGTCGGTAGATCATCGATCGTGGCAATGAAGTGGGTGGTGGGTGGGCAACGAATTCCATCGTCGTCTGCTTCCCACTCAAGACGGACATAGTTTGGCCCAGAGTCTCCTGACAAAGAGAGAGACTTCAATAAGTTTAGCATGTCGTCAAAGGGCAAGTGCTGAAAGATGTCCGCCGCGGTGAACTCCATCACCGGAGCCCAACCAGGTTCAGCGGGCTCAAGGACGCGCGTATTGGAACCTACAACTGGATATGAATCCGGGGGTCCGGAGTCACAGGCTTCCTCAGAAGTGAGGCCTGTGTTCAGCTCCATCGCCGATGAGGGTACGGCCTGGGGGGCGGGGTCCAGCCCTCCGTCCTTAGGCAACGCAACCTGCCCCGGATTTAGATCCGGGGCTTCTGCCGGGGTGATATCCCGAGCATCGTCTGACAGCAGGTCTAAGCCGTGCTCATCGTGATTGTTCGACGATCCTGGTGCTGGCCCAAATCCGTCGAAGATCATGTCTCCGCGAATATCCGCTGTGTATTTCAAGTTTCCGAACCTGACCTGGTGGCCGGGGGCATAGCTATCAATCTGCTCTAGGTGGCCAAGCGAATTGGCCCGTAGTGCGAAGTCGCCGAACACAAAGATCTGTCCGGGGAGGAAAGTCTCGCCCTGGACAGCGTTGTTGATGATGATTGAAGGAGCCATCGAGCCTGATAGCGATGACACAGAGGAACTCTCAATGAAAGCACCAATGTCGGTGTCAAAACCGGTGGATCTCGGGTAGGGGGTCCCGATCTGTGCGTCAAGGCTGATGGTAACAGGAAGCAAGGGACACAAATGTTTACTCAGGTTCGGGCCCTCTCGATGGAGGTAAAACTCTACTTCCTGCTTGATTAATATTGATGATATGGGTAGTACAAGAGTAGATCTACCACGAGATCGTAGAGGCTAAACCCTAAGAGCTAGCCTATGATGCTGTGGTTGTAATTGTGATCGGCCTTCTAAGGACCAACCTCTCCGATTTATATAGACACCGGAGAGGGCTAGGATTTACATGGAGTCGGTTACAAAAAAGGAAACATAATATCCGGATCGCCAAGCTTGCCTTCCACGCAAAGGAGAGTCCCATCCGGACACGGGCCGAAGTCTTGAGTCTTGTATCTTCATGCTTCAATAGTCCGGACGTTGTACACAGTCCGGCTGTCCGGATACCCCCTAATTCAGGACTCCCTCAATATGTTCATCAAGAGGTTCCGGCAACGGCTGAACAATGGATTCTAGGGTCTAGCTTCCACATGGATGTACCTTGGCCTAGGTCTTCTTCTTTTTTTCCAAGTGTCCACTTGATAGAATTTTTTGTAGAAATCAACATGAGTAGGAGTTGGTACTTAGCACATAATGACCTGTTTTGTCCTTTACTTTCCCAAATGCTATAGAACTGGCGTCATTTCTATATCATTTGAAGCGAGCTCAGGTTGTGCCGTTGGATGTGGCGGCACCAATCTTGATATTTGTATAGCGTTCGATCACCCCTCACAAATCACACCCTGAGTGTTCACTCCCTACTACCCCGCACGCGAACGCCGCTCGTTCTTAGTCGAGCGAAAAGGTGACAATCCGACTAACTAGTCATCAGCTGCTACCACTTAATGAAAAGATATACTGGAAATTCGGGATCATACAGAGCCAATCTACACCTTGGGACACTATGTCTTTTGTTGCCTAAATGGAATACTTTCTCCTAGGGTTAAAAATTTCAACGAAAGTTCAGTGAAATTTTTGAAATTTCGCATATTTCATTCGGGTCCAAAATAATTTTAACCCTGAAATTTCAAGAAAGATTCAAAATAAATTTAAATTTGATTAGGATTCATTAAGATTTAGTGAAATTTGAAATCTTAAAATCTGAAATAATTTATGAAACATGTGAATTTCAAAATTTTGCATATTTCGATGAGGTCCGAAATTATTTTGTTTCCGAAACTAATAACATGCTAGCTTTTCCTGCCTCTTTAGCATTGCTTTTCACTCCCAACATTTCTATAGTGCTAACTCCACAATCCACATGCCAAATTATTTTCTATAGATCTTCCTTTCGTATGCTTATTTTCCAAGTTTCCTTTCACATGACCGGTGTGGTTGGTACCTCGTCTCAGGCTCTTAGCTAGATGTGGAGCCTACGACAATCTGCCAAGACAAGGCCGCCGCCTCACAGGCCCGTGGAGATGTGGTGTCCATGAAACCACGTCGTCTAGTCCCTCCATCGCGCCCCGTCTTCGGGTCAAGTTGACTTCCTTGACCCAGACCTCCAGTGAACATGATGCGGGTGGCGTCATGGCGGGGCGTTGTCCTTCTTGAGCGGGAGACAAGTACCTCAGTGTGGTATCTTTTTCCTAGGCACAGACGATTGTGTGTCGTTGTCCTGCGATGTACTTCGGGTTGATGGCGTCCTGGGCAACACCTCGCCCTCGTCGAATTTCATGTCGATGGCGAAGTAGACAGTAGAAAGCGTCGTTGGCAATGGCATCGGTGTTACCATAGCAACGGGTGTTGATGATGTCGCCTACGTGTTGGGTACGGATGATGCAAAGTAGTCGGATCCCTGAAATTTTGCATCTGAAACTTGCAATTTTCTCGGTCGCTCGTATCAAGTCCAGCGTTGAAACTTTAAGCGACTTTGTTTGTCAGACGCAAATACTAAAGTTGTGTTCTTGTCTGTCGCTCGTACTAAGTTTCAAAAGTTAAAACTTAACATAAGTCTTAAAAACTCATCAAATCATATTTGAAATGAATATTTGAAAGCCTATGTGATGAGAGACACGAATATGAAAACATAACTTAATTTAAACTTTTTATTCAAAAGATATGAAAGATTAAAAATCGGAAGTAGAAAGAAAAAGCATGCGCGAGGGGCTCAGTCCCCCCAAACCTGCGTGTCACAAATCCTCTCCCCTTGTTCTTCAACTTCATTGACTTCGGCTTCTATTAAGCTGGACGTGAGCGACGCCACGTCATCATCTCCGGGCGAGCAGAACATGGACTTCATCATGACAGGCCTTACGGTGTTGTCTCTCCGAGTGTGGCCGTCGTGTTTGATGGTGAGCTGCACCGGGCAGTGGTTCAGTGTCGACCTCATCTATAGTGGCATCCGGAGCAACAAAGGGTTAAAAATGAGTTTCGCGTTGTCGTGTTCAGCAGCACCAACTTGACGAGACATACGGCGGGTGACACCACAGTGCTGGTTTGAAGACGTGGTGAGCTTCACATCTTAGTCCTCCACACTGCTGGCTTGACGACGTAAAGAGCAGGTGGCGTCATGGCGATGAGATATGCGTCCTCGTTCGCCATGGTGCCGTGCCGTCTTGATGAGTGGACAAAGGGCGTGACGGCGAGCTCCGAGTTTTCGTCTCCAGTGGCGTCCATCTGGCGCGACGAAGTAAAGGGCGGGCCATGTGATGACGTGCTCCGTGTCATCGCCCTCTAGGGCTCTGGCTTGACGACATACAAGGTAGGTGGTGCCATACCGAAAAAGGCTTTCGCCCCGCTTTATAGATAAAGCACACCGCCACAAAACACACAACCCCAACAGGTTCAGACACACACACCCAAGTAGCACAACAAAGTCATAAGGAACTGCTGAGGGCACAGCTCAACAAGCCCAAAGAAACAGAAAAGGAAACCGGGCGAGGCCGGGCGAGAGACCCACGCAGGGGACTAGTCAGGCTCCGGCGGAGGGGGCGGCGGCGGCGGCGACAGGCGGACGGCCATCGAGCGGAGGTCGGCGATGAAGGCGGAGATGGCGTCGCGCTCCAGGAGACGGCTAAGCGGCCGCCAAAGCTGCAGGAAACCCGAGAATTTGTAGAGAGCGCCAGTAGCACGAAGAAGCGGAGTGCGCTCAATCACAAGCTTATTACGAACAGTCCAAAGAGTCCAGGCTAGGGTCCCAACCTCCAGCCACCTAATGTGGCGGGAGGACGGGGGGGACGCTTGGAGTTCAGCAAAAAGGTCGGGGAAGTTGGTGTGAGTCCAATTTCCGCCGACAAGCTCGCGAAAACAGCTCCAGAGGAACTGGGCAGAGGTGCAAGCGAAGAAGATGTGGTTAGAGTCCTCGGGGACGGCACAGAGGGGGCAGAGACCAGAACCCGGGTCATTACGCTTGCGGACCTCCACACCGGAGGGGATCCGTCCCCGGATCCACTGCCACATGAAGATACGGATCTTCAGAGGGAGGCGGACGGACCAAACCATTGAGAGGGGGGGAGGGGCGGCGGAGGGGGCAATGGCCGCATAGAGCGATTTGGTAGAGAACTGGCCAGACGGCTCCAAATGCCATCGAACACAGTCTTGGACGCCGTCAACCAGCGGCTCATGAAGAGCGACGCACTCAAGAAGCTCACGCCAGGCGGCGGATTCCGCAGGCCCAAATGGCCGACGGAAAGCGAGGCGCCCTAAGTCAAATAGGGCCCTATCAACAGAGATCATGGGGTCGACAGAGATAGCAAAGAGAATGGGGAAGCGAGCCGCAAAGGGGGCGTCACCGGCCCAACGGTCATACCAGAATAACGTCGAACGGCCAGATCCTACCGAGATAGAGGTACCAATGCGGAGCACAGGAAGGAGCTGGACAAGGGACTGCCAGAACTGAGAGCCACCCGACTTCTGGCAGAAGGCAAGGGGTTGGCCGCGCAGGTATTTATTCCGGATAATGTCCAGCCAGAGGCCCCTGTGGCCCTGCGAGATGCGCCACAGCCATCGGGAGAGGAGGGAAATATTCATCCGTTTGGAGCACATGATCCCCAAACCCCCCTGCTCCCTCGGCTTGCAGATGTCAGGCCAGCTGACCATGTGATACTTCTTCTTGCCGTGCTCCCCAGCCCAATAGAAGCGGGACTGGATTTTCGCGATCTCCTTATGAAGAGAATCGTGAAGGCTGTAGAAACTCATAAGAAATAAGAGGAGACTGGAGAGGGAGGAGTTGATAAGAATAGTCCTGGCCGCCTTGGACAGCCACCTCCCCTGCCAAGGCTCGCATCTAGTCTGGAGCTTGGTCACGGAGGGGCGAAGATCGGCGGCCAGGAGGCGCGAGTGACTGATGGGCGTCCCCAGATAGGTAGAAGGAAACGAGCCCAAGCGGCAATTGAGTCTATTGGCAATGGCCACTGACTCCTCGGGAGAGTATCCCATCACCATAACATCGCTCTTATCAAAATTGATCTTGAGGCCCGACATCTGCTGAAAGCAAAGGAGGAGGAATTTGAGATTGGCGATGTCCATCTCCGAGCCTTCGACCATGATGATTGTGTCGTCCGCATACTGGAGGATGGAGATCCCCGCGTCCCCGGAGAGATGGGGGGCGATGCCTCGGAGGTGGCCCGCAGCTTTCGCCTTATCGAGAATGGAAGCCAAAGCGTCCACGACCATGTTGAAGAGGAACGGGGAGAAGGGGTCGCCTTGGCGCACCCCACAAAGGGTAGGGAAGAAGGGACCAATTTCGCCATTAATATTGACCGCCGTGCGACCGCAAGAGACCATTTGCATGACTCTCTTGATCCACCGGTCGTCAAATCCCTTGCGCAGAAGGACTTCCCGAAGGAAGGGCCAGCTAACCGTGTCATAAGCTTTGTGAAAATCGATCTTCAGAAAGACCGCCTTCAGGTGTTTGACCCGGACCTCATGAAGAACCTCGTGCAGGACCAAGACCCCATCAAGGATGAACCGGCCCTGAATGAACGCCGACTGATTAGGGTGAATGATCCGGTCGGCCAGCAGGGTCACCCTATTGGCGTACCCTTTGGCCAAGATCCGGAAGATCACGTTTATGACCGTAATCGGGCGGAACTGGCGGATGTCAGTCGCCCCAGGGACCTTGGGAATGAGGGAGATGGTCCCAAAGTTGAGGCGGCCAAGGTCGATCGAGCCCACGAAGAATTCCTCGAAAATGGCCATGATCTCGGGTTTGACCACGCTCCAGAAGGTTTGGAAGAAGAGAACCGGGAGGCCGTCCGGGCCCGGCGCCGAGGAGGGATTCATACCCTTGATAGCCTCCCAGACCTCTTGACCAGAGAAGGGGGCCGTCAAGGTGGCATTGTCTTCGTCAGAGACTAGACGGTCGCCGGTCCAGCAGTCAAAGGCAAGAGAGAGGCCGCTCCGAGGAGCGGGGGAGAAGAGGGAGCGATAGAAGCCATCAACATGGGCGCGGATATCGCGGGGATCCTGAAGGAGAGTGGCTCCCTCCCAAAGGCAGGAGATGGTGTTGCGTCTACGGCGCCCATTTGCGATCG